AAATGAAATGAAATGAAATGAAATGAAATGAAATAAAATAAAATAAAATAAAATAAAATAAAATAAAATAAAATAAAATAAAATAAAATAAAATAAAATAAAATAAAATAAAGTGTAATAAAAAAGAAAAATACAGAAACTAATAAAAAAAGTGATTTGAGTATGCAGAATTATACTATAACAAGTAATTTTTAAGCAAAAACAACAAAACAAACCCGACTTCAATTCTCAACCAAATTTAAACCAAATTAGTATGGGACCACCTCCTGAAGTACCACCTTTCCTTAAAAAAAAATATAGAAATCGTTTAACGTGGTCCAAAGTAATGCGGTAACATACAGAAAAAAATACATATATGTACATATTCCGACGAATCCTTCATCCTTTTTTTAAGTCGGTTAAAAATTAATGAGGGAAAATAAAAAATTAAAATTACAAGTAAAGAAGCATAAGTTCGGGCAAATCCGCGCAGGTAACAAATATCGACATTTCAACTTTCTCTAAACTACCTTTGCATGATAAGCAGCGGTGTATTCCCGATTTCGAACGTTTTCGAAAATGTGTTGAGGTGGACTTAATGATATAATTGAACCAAGTTTGTTAGAAGTCGACAAAGTGATTACCGAGATACACCGTTCCTAAAAGTCTATAGCAGTCTTATTTATTGGAGTGGAGCTTCCTCAGTTATTGAAATATCGAAGTTTTCGTATTTCTTAAATTTGCCGTTATACGGGAAGCGGGTGTAATTTTAGTCCGAATTGCTTTTCCGTACCAAGTTTATTAAGTGCACCGAGTTTGATAGAAATTGATAAATCGGTTATCGAGGTACACATTTGTGGTCATAAGTGGGTTGCGCCACGCCCATTATCCAAAATATTATAATAATCTAATTGTTGGCAATACGAAAGATGAATTAATCCGATAGGTGGCGCAGGAGTCGAGATATTTCGTAAACCAGTATTGATGACCCGATTCGATTCATATTTAGAAAGTATGTTTAAAACAAAAAAATTGACTACAAAGTACCGTATGTTAACTGTAAACTTTAAAGCCGTTTTCTCCAGTTTGTGATTTTTTGGATTGTGTCACTCGAAGCCATGAACCAACGTAATCAGTACACATAACTCTTCCGTGATAGGTATGCATTAAGCCGGGTCGGCGGCCCATATATAACCAGAAAGAATTTTTAATTAAACGCCCCTTTACTTCGTAATGATTTCGGCATCATACGAATTTCCACCTTAGACCCGCGATAAAAACTACTTCAACCGGTTTTCTTCAAAAATCACCTAAAAAAATAAAAAATAAAAAAAATCACAATGGTAGCTCTGAGTATTGCGCAATATTTAAGTATAGTATTACGGGGTGCACTCTAGAATAATTTGAGTTATGAATTTTTTTTTACACCGTAGTCTAGTAAAATGAATACATACAAAATTACAAATTTTTTAATTTTTTTGAGTATGCAGTTTTTTAGCCTGTTAAGTTTTAGTATTTAGTTTTAGTTACAAAATGCAAGTTTTAAGCTACTGCAAAATTGCGTGCGGTCTTTGGCTACCTTTTTTGTTGAATTTTAACACAAAAAATTTTCTCAATTTCGATTCCCCTGCCATTTTCTTCTGAATCACTTTGTTATTGAATGAAAGGACACTCATTGTGTGCTGACATTTAATGCCGAGCTAAGTAATAAGATACAAAAAAATATACATTTAATGTTTACTTCAATAGTACAATATGAGAACAAGTGTGACGGGCAATTTTATTCGATGCAGTCCTTATAGGCAGTAAATTTAAAGTAACGATTTTTTTCCAAACACAATAAATAACTTAAGTCCACAGAAATTTCTTGAGAAGTTTTTGAAGCTAAGGGTGCATTTCACTCCATACAATAAAGTAGGTACTGTTTTTCCATCGGAATTTTAAAATTTAAAATATTTTAAGGTTTCGGCCAAAATTTTGCAAAAAAAAATATTAAGATTTACATTAGCTAGACCAATTTAAAAATACCTCCAAAAATTGGGGTTTTTAAACTAAAATTGGTTGTTAAAAATATCTTTTCCAAAAAAAAACATCACGTAAATCTTAATATTTTTGCATAAAAATGTTAAAAAATGTATAAACGGAAACAAAATAATAATATTCTTTAGGTATTTTCAAATCGGACAACTCACGTAAACCTTAATATTTTTCCGAAATATTTTGGTCGAAGCCTTAAAATATAAGAAGCTTCATAATTCCGATGGTAAAACTGAAAATTTTTTGGCTGAGGCTGTGAACATTGGCAAACCAACTTATCTCCAGTTTTGTCATTTTTTCGGTTTGAAAATATACACATTTGAAGTACTTTTAAACCACCTTTAAAATAAAAAAGAAAGGTCGACACGTAAAGACTTTAAAGGAATATCCCACTTACGTACATACGTATATGCATACATACATATCTATGTAAGCTTGTTAAAAAAAAAAGACGCATAAATATTTATAAAATATAAATAAGTGACAGACAATGTATTCTAAAATTCAATGACACAAGAGAAGCTTACTAAAGTTAAAAAACATGCTATTTGGAATGATATTTTATCAATATCTCTTTGCTATATACAATCATACCTACATTTATATTTTACGCGTAAATCAGCAAGTAGCAAAAAATTGGTTTTTAATTCGGCTAAGTATTGCTAAAATGTTTCACATTTGTTTTAACTTTTTTTTTCTTTCTGCAAGTATGGAAATTCATTATTTTAATGTGCCATCTTACAACGAGGGTATATTTTTTCTATCAAATTCGTCGAATATGACAATCATTTCAAAAATAAGTCTATGTGTTAACTGTTGGATTCGCAAAACAATTGTCCATTCTGGCAACTGAGTACTGCTAACGAGGAGGTCTGAGTGTTATTCTATTTTTTGTTTAGCAATAAGTTTTTTAAAAATTAAACGAATTTAAAAATAATATTTTTTTGTGTTTATAACAATAAAATTTAAATCAACAATTTAAAGAAAATTAAATAAAAAAGAATAACTTAACAAAATAAGTTTCTAAAAATTAAATGAAATTAAAAAAAGATATGTTTCTTTTTAAATAATATAATACAAATATTTAAAGAAAATAAACTAAAAATTAAAACCTGGGATAAATTCCTAAAATTTAACTTAATAAAATGGTTTGCTTTTTAAAACAATAAAATTTTAAAATTAAATTTAAAAAAATTTGGTAAGAAGATTAGCAAAAATATATGTAGATAGGTTTCTAAAAACTAAATGGAATATTTTTTATTTTTAAAACAGTAAAATCTTAAAAAAAAATTAAAAAAAAGAAAAATAAATATAAAATAAAATAAGTTTCTAAAAACATTATTAAATTAAAAAATATACATATGTATGTATATTTATTTTGCTTTTTAAAACAAAAAAATCTAAAAAAATTAAAAGAAAATTAATAAAAAAATATAATATAACTTAAATTGAAAAAAAATCGTTTTCCCGGGAGTCGAACCTCGGATCTCTCGAATGGGAAGGCAGTGCTTTTTTCACACGGAAATTGCGACTGTTGGAGCAGCGCGAACGAAATGACAAATTCCTTCTGTTTTTATCATGAGAGGCATCTTTTTTTGTAAGACTTTCTTGCCAGAATAAAAAAAAAAATTTCAAACTATCTTGCCTACTGTTGTCTTTCAATTGCCTTACGAAAGACTTTGAACTATCTTAGCCAGAATTGCCCTGTTATTCGTATGTGATTATTTCGACAGTGTGAGAAAATGGTGAATTTTGAACGCACTTCCAAGTTCCTTTCGTAGAACAAAAATCAACAGTGAACATGGCAAAAAACTAACACCGATTTATCTCCAAATCAAATCGGAAATACATCACATTAGCTTTGTGCTGCCTACACACGAGACAACCATTGAAGCAACGTATTAAGGCAACCTGTTTTTCTCGTTCAATACACACGAGGCAACCGACCAAACCGCACAACCAATACAAAATAAAAAAAAACATTTTGATTTTCGAGTGACGGTTGCGGCAGCACGAATTTTAATGAGCAACAACTGCTACACACGAGGCATTCCCCGGTTGCTTCAACGGTCGCCTCGTGTGTAGTCAACCTTATAGTACTTTTCCAGAGGCTGGCAGACCTACAAAATTGCCTAAGTGTTTTGGAGTTTTTTTTATCTCCAAAGCACATTCCAACCGCCTACGAAACATAATCTGTCGAATAAAATGAAAAAAAAAATTATAAAAAATTTGTTGGAACCAAAAAAAGTCTTTACGAAGGCCTTTCAATTCGCAGAGTGTGGATACGAAGCTTTACTTCTGGTAGAGAGAAATACATGTCTAACTGACAATACTGTTCACGATACGCACTCGATTTGTTGATGAACTGATTTATATTTTAAATTACCAACTTAAATGCTAGCGATTTTTCAGCATAATAAAAAATTTACCTTTGCCTAGTTTTTGGATATTGTTTTTATTGATTTAGATTATTTTTTATTAAAAACCCACTTAAACCAAAACAAAAACACTAACAATTTTGTATACACTTACATCTTGTTTTGCAGCCAAAAGCTGGTTTTGAGCCAGATACAGCATCACTCAGAGAGAAAGTCATTTTAAATCCGGGCGAAAAATGGCGCATTTTGAAAAATATCTCCATCATATCATTTGCATTCATGGTACAATTCACAGCGTTTCAGGTAAGTCAACGAAAAGGCATATTAATTCTCTATGAAATATATGTATGTACATACAGTATTGGACATATCTATAGCACCCCCACTTTCAAAGTGCTATTGTTTGCCACTTATGTTTAATCATTTATTTTTAAGAATTTTCAATTAAAATAGAGTTCATTCTNTTGTATTGGCCAATACTGTATGTACGCATTTACCTACAAACATACACAAAATCGATACATTTTATAGTAGTAAAAACAAAAATGCATAAAAAATATAATAAATATATTCAGTCGCCAATGAAAAAGCGCACGCACTGGCCAACAGCCGCCCATACATGCATACATATGTATAATTTAAAAACCAAGCATACGCACATGCAGACATATAAACATACATACATACATACATGCATAACAAGCGCATATGTTAATACAATAAAAATTCACTTTCTCTTTGTTTTCCTACACACATTTCAATCTTTTTGTTTTTTGTTTCTTTTCAACTTTTTGTTTGTTTACGTACTTCACACAACGCTTGTCTTGTTTCCGTCACCCAGGGCACAGCCAATTTACAGTCCTCGATTAATGCCGAAGATGGCTTAGGCACTGTATCGTTGAGCGCCATTTATGCGGCGCTTGTCGTCTCATGCATCTTCCTACCCACACTTATTATACGCAAATTGACTGTAAAATGGACGCTGGTCTTCAGTATGCTGTGCTATGCGCCGTACATCGCCTTCCAATTGTTCCCAAAGTAAGTAGTCAAGCAATGGATGTTCATGTCCATACATATTCGCATTTATCAAACTTGAATTATCTAACGCTCCACATCTTATTTATGTTCTTACATAGGTTTTACACATTGGTTCCTGCTGGTATTCTAGTCGGTTTGGGTGCCGCTCCTATGTGGGCATCTAAGGCCACCTATTTGACTCAGGTCGGTCAAGTGTATGCGAAGATAACCGAACAAGCGGTGGATGCAATTATTGTGCGATTCTTCGGTTTCTTCTTCTTGGCTTGGCAAACAGCCGAATTGTGGGGAAATCTGATTTCGAGTTTGGGTAAGTTGAATATTAATAAATGGTAATTAAGTCAAGCGTAGGTAAAAAAAAAAAATATTAGGTGAAAAATAAGAAAACCCCTGTGCGGTAGTGGCTAAACGTGCGCACTGACAGTCCGCAGGGTCTGGGATGGAGCGCAGTTTTTAATTAACATCAAAAGCTTAAGAAAAGAAAAAGCTACGTCTAATAGCGGTCTCCCCTGACAAAGCTCCGAGTGTATTTCTGCCACTAAAAACAGCTCCCCTTAAAAATACAATCGCTGTTCTGAGCCACCGTAAAACTGTAGCTCCCTACCCTTTGTTTGAAAACATCAAGGTGCACGCCACAAATCGGGGGAGAACCCCGTCGGCCAAACACTAACACTGTGTAAGCGCTAATCTATTATAACATATTATTATTATTTAAGTTATAAACTCTGAAGCCCCCATCCGCTACGACAGCTCTGTCCACATACTATGGTTTTACAGTTGTTTTTTTTTGCACTTCTTCCTCTTATTCTTATTTGGCTCTATAATCGTTCGTCGGTTTGTGCCCAGACCAAAGCCCTTCACCAATTGCCACTCTCCATTGCGAAGTTGTGCCAGTTGTATATACCCGAGTGCAGAGAGATCATGGATGCCGAGTCGAAGGATCTTTAGGTAGGTAGAGATGGCTGCCGCCTTAGCGGCACACTTAGGCCATATATAGAAGGCCCCACAGTTGACACCGTTCAATTATCCTCCCTATTGAACCACTTCTTGTCGCTGATAAATCTCATCAGGCATCTCGCATCGGTATTTGAAAACTCCCTAAGGTCGGCCAGGAACGGTGAATCCAGATGACGCAGCCTGCTTCTACACATTGCAGGGCATTTACACAAGAGATGCAAGACTGTTTTCTCATCTTCGTCGTCCTTGGAGCTTCTGGTACACCTACGGAAGGGCCGCCGAGCCTTTCGGAATGCTTACCTATTAGACAGTGCACGGTTAGGGCCTCCAAGAAATATGTAGATATATCCTCTCTTCAAAAAGAGTATATCCTTCGTGACCGCTTCCGGTCGCATTTAGGCCAAGTCTGCCTGGAAATTCGACAAGTCGTACTTTGACTCTCACCCCTATTGCGAATGTCGACTGGCAGTAGATAAACGACTATTAAGCGATTATCGATTAGCGATGCTATTGCGAGTGTCGCTTAGTCGCTCAATTAGCGACTGTGAATACTTTTTAATCGCTCATTCTTCTATTGCTGTTTTTTAGTCGTTGGAGTTTGCGTTTATAAAATTTACATAAGAAAGTGGTACTATAATGGATAAAAAGTAAGTCAATTGAACTGGAAGTTGTAAAAAATTGTGAAATATACATATGCATGTATGTGTCTGAATTACAGATCAAAAATTATAAGCAACAAAAGGCAACTTGCGCGGTTGTTCGTACTGATGCAGGAGAGTGAAGACATAGGCAAAGGAATTTCCGGAAAGAGTAGGGTAGGAAGCTCCGCTTCTATTAGAAAAAATACATATACAATATTTCTTGTGCATATAACTCCGGCTACGCCATCCACAGTGTTTTTGCGCAGAACCAACATCAAAAGTTTATACAAAAAAACTGCATAATTTATTAATTGACTAGTGCTCGGAAATTTTAAATCTTTATTTTAAATTAAAGTTGAATTCTTTCAATACACTTGTTATGTTGTTATGTTAAAATTTTTAAACTCGGGTCACGCGTTTGGACACAAAAACCCAACATCATTGTACAAAAAACTTAACCGTACCGTATTTCTTAAACTTCCATAAAGTTTATTAATGAGGAAAACAGCTTTTCCTGCAAATCATGTAAAGCCTAAAAACTGTGAAGCATCGGGAACGCAACTTCTATTCATAAAACTCACACGTGTACATACACCTTCAAAGTCCAAGGGATCCGACGAATCTCGCAATTCCCTCCTTGCTTTAGCTAACTCTACTAATCTATTAGCTTCCGCATCATCTTCCTCATCACTAAACCATATTTCAACTGTGTCCATTTTTTTAATTTTATAATAAAAGCAATTATTTTAAAAATGATGTAAATAAAACACTCAAGAAACAAATGTAAACAAACAAACAGCTGTTTACAATTCTGTCAACCATTCACAATAGTACACATTTTTATCGATCAAGTTACACAATAGCAAAATAAAAGATGATCGACTCGATCGACAAATTTCTATTCTACTGCCAGTCGACACTCGCAATAGGGGCCTCTATCTTTTTTCTGATTGTTTGTAAACAAATTCCCTAAGTTAATCTGCCATGCATTTTCCCTCTATGTCCCTATGACCAGGGACCCCATTGAGGTGAAGTCTGTTCTGCTTGGCCTTCTCCTGTAGAGATAGGTGGCAGTCCAACGCAATCTTTGAGTGAAACGTGAAAGAGCTCAGAGCTTTGGTCGCAGCCTGGCTATCAATAAAAATAAAGATGCCCCTTCCCATCATTTCGGTTACAAGCTTCTCCGCAGCTTCGATGATAGCTGAAACTTCAGCTTGGCATACGCTGCAGTAGTCCGGTAACCTAAAAGAGATTTTTAGAGGAGGGTTTCGTGAGGAAGGATCTTTACACTGCAGCCTTGTCCTCCGCGTGTACCACATGTCCCAGCCGTCGAAATTATTGTATTTGTATGCACTTATATAAATATGTTTATGTCGTTAAACAGCTCGTACAGTTCCTCATTCCATCTTCTTCGGTACCCGTCGCCCACGCGAACAGGGCCATAGATCTTGCGTAGAATAGTGCTCTCAAAAGCCCCCAAAGCCTTCTCGTCTTGTTCGACATCACCCCTGTTTCTGCGCGACATAAAAGGACGGACATGATGAGAAAATTGTAGGGCGTAATTTTTGTTCGACGAGAAAGAACTATGCTTTTCAATTGCCTAACGGGTCTAAACCAACTAGACGTCACCATTCTCCCCCAGTAACCTCTTTATTTCAATACGATTTACTCGCGGTTTTTGAGATCTGCACGCACGACTTTGTTCCATGTTGTCGCTTCTCAAATGAGCACTTAAATATTTCCCTACAATTATCACCCGAGTGCAGCCTGTGATCTATAAAGCTTTGTGCCGTGTAAAATGTTATTCCTTTCTGAAGAATAGCGCTGACAATAGAATTTTGGGATCATAGGTTCTGCATATTTATCACTGCTTTGACAAATACGACAACAAAGCGAAATGTCATAGCACAATCTGCTGATATAATTTTTGTGTACGCGAAGTACCGAAACGAACTGCATTATGTACACGTATAGACGTACATATGGCAAGGAGTTGTAGGGTATGCAAAGACCCGAAGGCGTCAGTAAACTGGGGAACTATAGACTATTCCCGCAGCAGTACTTAAAATTATACTAAACCTGTACCCGATGGTTCTAGATACAAAGGACTCAATGAACCTTGGGGCATATTAGCAGACGACTATTGAACGATATTTTGGAGAATATAAAGATTTACGTGAGCTGGACCGATATGAAAATACCTTCATAAGTCAAGTTTTGTATAAATAAAAATCAAAAGCTTACAAAGAATTAAATAAAATTAGCATCAGTTAAAGCTTAAAGGTCGGCATAAAAATGTTTAAAAATGTTATCAACGGAATCTAAATAAAGAGATTTTTTGAGATATTTTCAAATCGGACCATCTCACGTAGGTAAGGTTAGGTTATGCTGGCCGACCATAAATGGTCTCACATAGACGAATATAACATCCATAGCGTTGCCAGATGCGTTTACGACCTATGAATCAATGCTTTCACACAATGTTAAAGAACACTGCCGTTCCATTAGAGAATTTCAACAGACACTTTGGTACTTTGTAGATTGCTGCTTGTAGACTCTGCAGCTGTACCGAAGGCTGGACCCTCACAAAGTATATGCTCGTCGGTTTCTTTGTGATAGTTATTTCCTGAATTTGTTGACCTAATTTAAATGCATGTACTCTTAGCAAACAATGCCCGTTAGCAATCCCATCAGGAGCTTCGACTCTGTTCTTTTTGCTGATATAAGGAAATCAGTAAGTTTCCTTGCGTATGGGCTACACATAATTTTTGTAAGTCCTGAGTTCTTCCCCAAGGGGAATTGGTATATTCGTCATTAGTTAGGCATCTAAGAGGCTAGCTACCCAGCTTCCAGACATTACCTTTCACAGCCTTGTGTTCCGAGACCCAACATAGGTGGACGGTTTAAGCCGCAGCTAGCCTTCTTATGGCCTCCTTACAGTCCGTGACGGTGATCGAATGTGTATCAAATGAAAGTATAGCCTTAATGGCCGCCTTACTATCTATGTTTGCTTATTTGCTAGCTTGTCTAGTTAATTTCTTGTAGTATCTCTGTCGCTTCCTTTATTGCAAAGACCAGGGCTTAGTAGATACTGCAGTGATGTGGTACTCTAAAGCCCCTATGAATTACCGGTTCTGTGCAATATACTGCAGCCCCTACTCCTTCTTCCGTTTTGGAACCGTCTGTTTAGACGTGCGTTACATTCCCTTGCCATTCCACGCTCTTCCAGCTTACGTAAATCTTAATACTTTTCGAAATACAGATTTTGATGGAAGTCTTAAACTATATATAATAAACTTTATAATTCCGATGTAAACTCGGCGGTTATTTTTTGTGGTGAGGCACCCTAATATATACATATCAATATTTTTAAGAAACATATCGTATAAGTTATTAAGACTCATTTTCTCGTTTCCTTTTTTGCAGTGCTTTCGAGCGGAGCTCATGGCAGTGGCGGTGACAGTAACACCACCACCTCTGAAGATTCTCTGAAACACTGCGGTGCGAACTTCTGTGTGCAAAGTTCGACCGGCATTTTGAGCCGTCCACCAGATAATGAAATCTTCGAAATCTCTATGATCTACTTGTCTTGCATCATTGCTGCCGTAGCCATTATTGCAATCTTCCTGGATCCCCTAAAGCGGTATGGTGAAAAACGTAAGGGTTCACAATCGGCACAAGAATTGTCTGGCATGGAATTGCTGTCGGCTACTTTCCGTCAAATGAAGAAACCAAACCAGCAATTGCTCATTCCCATCACAATTTTCATTGGCATGGAACAGGCTTTCATCGGTGCCGATTTCACACAGGCATATGTTTCGTGCGCTTTGGGCATCAATCAAATTGGTTTTGTGATGATCTGCTTCGGTGTGGTCAACGCTATTTGCTCGATCCTTTTCGGTTCGGTAATGAAATATATTGGACGTCTGCCCATCATTATTCTCGGCGCTGTAGTGCATTTCACACTCATCTCCATCGAATTGTTTTGGCGTCCCAGCCCTGAGAATCCACTCATCTTCTACGCCATGTCCGGATTGTGGGGTGTCGGCGATGCTGTATGGCAAACGCAAATCAACGGCCTATACGGTCTGCTCTTCCGTCGCAACAAGGAAGCGGCCTTCTCCAACTACCGTCTCTGGGAATCAGCTGGCTTCGTGATCGCCTATGCATATGCGACAACTTTGTGTGCGCGCATGAAGCTTTATGTTCTATTGGCTGTATTGGCATTGGGATGCGTTGGATACACTATTGTGGAAATTCTGTATAGAAGAAAGGTATGTAATAAATGGCAGCATAAATACTGGAAGATCCAATTACTCATTTGTTTATTTATTCTAATTTAGCAACGCAAGCTAAAGAAACAAGAGAAATTGGAGGCTGCCGCCAAGGAGAAGGAAGCGGCTGCCGCTGCAGCCGCCGCTGAGGCTAATGGCCCAACCGAAGTGGATGAAACAGACGACGAGCTGGATGATCTCGAAGAAGATATTGTTGTGACGCATTTCTAAGTCCACTTCTAAAAACAAATACACACACACTCACAAACGCGTGCTCAAACATGCATACAACTGCAAAACAAACAGTTGCGCCCTACATATCGTCAAACGTAATGTGCATATGTATGTATGTACACATGTGAAAGCTTCTCATCTCACATGTGAAAGTGCTTTGAAAAGCTTGGAACACTGCAGCTTTGGCAAGCTTATAAACAAGTGTGAAAGCACTTCAAATCATTAGGGCACACACACATACGATGTAAGCTTTTGTTTTGCTNGTAGCAACGCAAGCTAAAGAAGCAAGAGAAATTGGAGGCTGCCGCCAAGGAGAAGGAAGCGGCTGCCGCTGCAGCAGCCGCTGAGGCTAATGGCCCAACCGAAGTGGAAGAAACAGACGACGAGCTGGATGATCTCGAAGAAGATATTGTTGTGACGCATTTCTAAGTCCACTTCTAAAAACAAATACACACACACTCACAAACGCGTGCTCAAACATGCATACAACTGCAAAACAAACACTTGCGCCCTACATATCGTCAAACGTAATGTGCATATGTATGTATGTACATATGTGAAAGCTTCTCACATGTGAAAGTGCTTTGAAAAGCTTGGAACACTGCAGCTTTGGCAAGCTTATAAACAAGGGTGAAAGCACTTCAAATCATTAGGGCACATACACATACGATGTAAGCTTTTGTTTTGCTTTTTTGTTTCGCCTGAGCGCTTTTAGTGTTGGCGTGTAGGTGTAACTTTTCTTTGTTTTTTTTTTTGTTTTACAAAACAAAAAAATTCTTTTGCATGCAAAAGGGCGAAAATGCATGCTGCAGTGAAGTGGTAGAGTGATTATTATGTTGCGGCGACTCAGTGTATGTAGCAATTATGTAGTAAAGAAAATGAATGTTGGACAAAAAAGTTCGCCTTTCTGCAGCTTTCCTCAGTTGTTACTTTGTTAAATGTATGTACTTATAAAACTTACAATGGAAAAGGACACTTTAAAGTTTAAAGTATTTACATAAATATCAGAACAAGTAATAACGAATATAATTGAATGTAATGTGTTATAAAGTTTATTAAATAGTTATTTAGTCTAATAAGTACAACAGAAACAACGCAGACATACTTACACACAAACACTTACATTTTATGTACACACAAATTGACATAAATAGAAGAAAGTTACACAAAAGCTCACATAAGCATGTAAAGTAAGTGCAATTTGTAAATAAATAACTAGATTGAAGTAATAAACAAAATAATTACTGAAATCTTAAACCAGAAGAACTGTAAAAATTATAAAAATGTTGAAAAATTGTTTTGTTTTTTACTTTTCGTGAAAAAAGCTCTTAGTGAGTATGAAAAAAATTTCACATGCTCAAAGAAATGCAAAAACAGTTAAAATTCACTTGAAAACAACAGAAAAAAATAAATGTGAAGGCTTTTTTTTCTAGCCCTACCACTGGCTCCTACATATTGAATGAACAAAAACTTAATTATAACCCCAAACAAAAGACGTGCTTCCTAAAGGCAAATAATATGTACTTGTACATATTTGAATTGTATAACAATTTGCTAAACTTATGTATATGTAAAAGAAAAATTACTAAGACAAAACGATATATTTTAAAACATAAAATTTGCCCAAATGAAAAGGGTATGTAAGAAATACATATGTATATGCGTATATACAAATTTAATTTAAGTTAAAGTCCTGTTTTAAGACCCCTTAGGTATATAAATATATATATATATATGAATATGCATAAGTTAAAAATGTGAAATCAACGCTCAAAACAAAAACAACAATGCACAAATTACGAATTGTGCTTTTTAAAAAATATTTGTATTATTGGTAGAACACATACGAATATGTGTGAGTTATGCGCGCATACAAAAAAAAATTAAATTTATGTTGTTTTTATTTTTAGTAAATTTAGTTTTTGTTTATGCGCGCGCTCAAGCCTATTTTCGTTTTCGCTTCTTTTGTACTTCTTTCAAGAAGTAGTCGATTGTAGTAAAAATAGTAATATTAGCTTGTGTGAAACTCAAAAATATTCCTTAATATAAGAAAGTAAGAAATATTGTATTATCAATAAATAAAAAAAACGATAATTAAAACGTTAAAATTAAAAAATTAAAGACAATTTACACAAAAAAGATTTAATTCTAAAAAAAAATACTTAAAAAAGTGTAAGTTAAACTTTGAAAGTTGTTAAAAGAAATATACGAGT